CAAACCACAGCTGAGAGAAGCAAACAAAATTTCTGCAATAAAATCAATAGAGAAAATAGGAATAGAACTTAAATCTCATATCTCTCTGCTCAGTGAACATTATGCAAAATGTCATCCTCTTATTCAGAGCAAAAACAAAACAATAAACTATAAATAGACAATAATATATCTAACATTTATTGGCTGATTCGTATTTGCCTGCTACTACAGCAAATGCTTTAGATACACAAGCTCATTTAATCCTCACAAGAAACTTCTGATGTGTGTATTATCATTTTCCCTTTATGGAAGAGGAAATGTGGTTTATAGCAGTTTAAAAGCCTGTCTAAATTCATACAGATGCTACCTGGAAAAATGGGATCTAACCTCAGTTCCCTCTGACATCAAATCTAACCTCTAAACTTCCCTACTATAAAAAATTGTGTTCCTATCTCCAGGTTTTGTGCAACATATTAAGGCAGAAAAAAAAAATAGTGGATGATCCAGAGACATTGCTCCAGTGACTTCTATACAAAGATTGATTTTCTTCCCTTTAAGCTCTCAGTGAGTGACTTCAGTATCCTTCCCATTGCCTCAAATCAATAAGGTGGATTTCAACTTTGTCTTCCTTCTTTTCATCACTTTCTTTCCCACATGCCATCAATTACAAACCACATCAGTTTGAGTTCTTTAGAATTTCTCTATATCTTTGCATAACTCTTCATACTTGCTGCCACTCTCGTTCAGACCACCATTGTTTCTCTCCTGATCTATGGTAAAAATCTCCTAATTGATTTCCCCATACCTCATTTTACACCCTCCAACCACTGCCCACAAGAAGCCAGAATGATTGATCTTTCTAAAAATCACATACCTATTTGCTTAGAGTGAAGCCCCCTTGCTTGTGGTAGAAGATCTATATTTTACACAATATGCAAAGCCCTTGACGACCTAGCTCCGGTCTTCTCGCCACACTGGAAACTCTTACCATGCTGAAATATACACAATGCCACAAACATACAGTGTTCTCCTATCTAGAGCTCAGTGCATACAATTTCCTGTGCTTGGAGTATTCTCTACTTCTCCTGCCTCACTCACTTGTCCTTCAAGTCCTAGTTCAGATACCTCTTCTTTTGAGTAGACGTCACTGATTATCCAAGACTCGGTGAGCTGCCCGTTTGGAGTTATTCGTTATCGCAGCACTTGCCACATCATGCTAAAACTGTCAGGTCACCTGTCTCCCTCACTACACTAGGAGCAACCCAAGGAAGCTCTAAGTCTCATTTGCCTTTATAACCCTGTACCTACCACAGTGCCAGGTATACAGAAGATTTCAAGGAACATTTGTGAAGTGAAGGACGATGGAAATAAAGAAAAGAGGGAGAGAAAGCGAGGGATAGAGATGAAGGAGGAGAAAGGGTAAAAAGAAAAAGGAGAAAGTAAGAAAAGAGAAGGAGGGATAGAAAAGGAGAGAGGAGAAGGAAAAGAAAGAGAAAAGAAGGAAGGAACAAAAGGAGGAAGATAGGAGGAGACGAGGGTGGAAGGAAGGAAGGGAGAGTGTATAAAGTTGCAGAAAAATGGAGAATATTCACACTAGATTCCTGATGGAAATGTCTGGGAAGGCTCTAGACAGCATCAGCCCTTCAGTTATTAGCCCACTCCTGCACTTGCACACATGGTCATGGAGTTCTGACGTTAAAGAAAATAAAGACTGGAAAGGACCTTAGAAACAACTAAGTTTACCTTATAGTTGAGGAAACAGCCAAAGACAAAATATTAAGTTACTTCATAAAAGACAGTTAATATGGGTTAAGATGCAAACATAGGCTTGAAAAATCTCAAAACCCAAGTTTTCTTCCCCACATCAGTCTTCCAAGAGATCCAGTTGAGTCAATAATGGCAAAAGCAG